ATATATATATATAATAAAATGTAAAAATTTGTGAATAAAATTTTATATATATCTCACTGTATATCGATAAAATTTTACTGATATAATTAATACATTATCCTATGTTTAAATATCATTTCCATAAATATTCCACTTGTAAAATAAGTTCTTAAAAAATATTATTATGCTATATAGTATTTTTTTTAAATATACAGCATTAATAAAATTTAAAATTTATATATAAATTAACTCAAGCAGATCTTACATTTGTACAGTCTATAAAATTATTATTGAGTTGCACCACATTTTGAACAGGTTTGTCTTTCACTGAAACAGTTGAAAATTTGTTACATAAAAAAAGGAAAGTATTTTCTTATTGCTTACCTGAATATCTGATGAAGCTTCTTTCGGAATTCATTACAGAGAGCTTTTTCAGATGCAAGGGCTGCATCACGTTCTCGTAATTGTTGTCTCAAATTATATATTGTATCTTCTAATGCTTCAAAAATTGCCTAAAAAGATTAAATATTTTGTAAAGCAAAGTAACACATGAAAAAAATTAAGATTCATAAATGTAATTTATATTACAACTCACTCTAGATTCTTCCGCTGTATCAGATAAAGCAGGAGGCTCATCCAAACAGAAGAATTCCCTTACACACGAAACACCAATAAGAAGTGGACTATTCAATATACCATTAACAAATGTTTGAAGACCACATATTCTTTCTTCCAAAAAACTTGGAGCAAAATTATCACCAAGCCATTTTTTTCTTGGTAAAACCAAATGGGCAATAGGAACTTTTTGCCTTTTTAATTGCGCTAACAGTCGAACAAAGTCTGTGTACCTTCGAAATACAAACCAACAATCACCATTTTTCAATTCAACTCTAAGTTTGTAGACCTATACCAAAAACATAAAAAGAATTTACATTTAAAACATTGATGTAACGCAATAAAACAATTTCTATATAATTTTATATTTTAGATAACATTACTGTATCACATTTTAAATATTACTTATAAAGTTTACTGTTGAAGTTAATAAAATATATATACTGCTGTCTAATATATTTGTACTAAATTGTAAAATATTTATATTTGTGTTATATTAATGAAAAATATATATTAAAATAATATTAATAAAGTTTAACATGATATAATAAAACTATATAATCATTGATATAATTAACTAACTGTAAATCTAGCTCTCTCCTCCATGATCTCATAACCAACAATAGGTATTCTCAAGTCATCGCTAGTAAGGGGTGACTCAAGAATACCTGAGTTGGTACTGTTATCATTGGTATAATTAAATCGTTGCACAGTAAATGTATTCGAGTGACCAGATCCATCAGAGTTGGGACTATCAAGAACTCTCACAGTGCCTGTCTGAGATTTTCTTGCTTTGCTAATCGCAAGTGTTACCTCACTAATGCATCCTACACCAGCCTCTGAATTGGACATTTTAACTCGAACAAAACTAAACAAAACCATGCATACTTCAAATAAAAACTAA